ATGCCCTCGGCACCGCAGGCCCAGCCTACTCTACTGTCCTTTTCAGCAGGTGCAAAACACAAAGAACCTGGGCTTTGGAGCCAGAGAATTCTGGCCCCACCAGGCACTAACTGCGTGCCCCAGGGCCAAGCTCCACAACCCTGGAGGCCGCAGCTCCCACAGCTGCTCATTGGGGCCACCAGTCTGTGGGAGCTGGACTGAGTTGGTCCAGCAGAGGGGGAGGTTTCTCAGGGGAGTTTCAGCGTCCTCTCTGGCTGACCCCAGACTGATTTTAAGTCTTTCTGCAATCCGAAAGAGTAACTAAAGAAGAAAAATAATTTCACGGTACGTGTTTCTGTTTTTCTTTGCAGCTAACAAAGACCAAATCTTCAAGATTAACTCATCATGCATGGGGGCCCTGACCCCCCAGAATGGATGCAGCCCTTGCCCAAGTCGCCAGGAACAGCAGCAACAACAAAAACATGTAGCATCATGTGTGCCCTCCACCACCACACTGGGAGAGAAAATTATTGTTTAAAAACGCAAGCATGAAAATCAAAACACATCTTCTCCTTGATCTGACGGAGACCGGAAAGCTAAACAATTGTGGGATTTGTTCTAAAGCCGAAATGTGAGGCTGTTCCAGTCTGTGGGTCCCTTTAAGCCAGTGTTTTGGTTTTCTGCCAAGAAGACAGCTGTTGGAAGGAAGTGCTTCCTCACCCAAAGCTGTCAAGGCGCAGACATTAAAGGGACAGACCCACTCCCAACTGGAGGCTTATCACCTTCCAGGAGCCTTGGAGAGATCCAGCCTCCATCCCCAAGGCAGATTTTCGGCTTGTAATCCACCTGCTTTCGGCAAGGTCCCACGGCCCCCAGTCCCAAGGCCAGGGCCATTCCGCTATCTATCTGGGCTGAGGTCTTTAGCGCCACAGCCCAGGGCAAGGTCTCGGTTTTAACCCCACCGCTCAGTTTCAGGGTGGTGTTCACACAATGGAGCTAATCAATGCGGGCTCCCAGAGCCCCGCATTCCTGGAGGGCCCGAGTCACACCCTCACCTCGAAGGGCACTGGGTCACAAAGCACAACTCGGATTTCCAATTAGTTCTGCAATCCCGGCTGCCAGACAGACAGAGCTGGACCCAGCAGAAGCAGCGCGGGTGAAGCCGACGCCACCGAGGCCGTGGGTACTTGCCGGTGGGCGGCCATAGGAAGGGAGGGGTGTGCCCACACCCCCAGCCTTCCCGAGACTGGCCGGCCCGGCGCCAGCACATCGCCGCCTGCTGGCCACCAAGCCAGGAGCGAGTGGCCCACCACCCACTGGGGAAGGAGGGTGCGGACAGGGCCGGGGTGCGGCGAAAACAACAACAAACCCGTGCCAGCCATCTGTGCCGTCTCGCTCAACTTCCTGCGCCCCGAGCAGGTCGTGCACCGCCCCGGTCCTGTCGGCGACCGTCCGCTGCCCAGGCCCCGCCGAAGTCCTTTCACCTCCGGCTAACAGGTTTCCCCAAACCCCTCCCCGGCGTCTTGAACCACCCAACTTTTCTTAGAATGCCGTCCCGGGGTGGGGGCGCCATGGCCTGTGTGGCTGAAGGTCCAGTCCAGTCGGACTGCACTAGGGGGCCGCGTCCGCAGGGCTGGGGGACGGGGTGAGGGCCGGGACGGGGGCGCCCGTCAGGCTGCCCACAGCGGGCGGACGGGGCTGCAGTGAAGGTGGGACTTGAGCAGCTTTCGCTCACCCCCTCGCGTGGCCCCGGAGATCCGCGGGGAGGGCTGTGACTCCCGCCACCCGCTCTACCTCGAAAACACGTCCCGCGTCCAGCGCCCCGCGTCCAGCGCCCCGCACCCCCGGCCAGACCCACCAGCAGCAACAAAGGGAGCGCGCGGGGCCCGTCCCAGGACCCCGGGGAGCGGCGGCGCCCGGCACGGTCGTTACCTGAGTCGCTCAGGGTGTCCTCGCCGGAGGTGCTGAGGGCCTTGGGGTCCCCGCC